AACAACTAACGAAATTAAACAATGCAGTTGAAGAAAAGCGGCCCGAATTGACAAATCGAAAAGGTGTTGTATTCCATCATGACAATGCAAGGCCACACACATCTTTGGTCACTCGGCAAAAATTAATGGAGCTTGGTTGGGATGTTTTGCCACATCCACCATATAGTCCTGACCTTGCACCATCTGATTACTTTTTGTTTCGATCTTTACAAAACTCCTTGAATGGTAAAAATTTCAATAATGATGATGATGTCAAATCGTACCTGATTCAGTTTTTTGCTAATAAAAACCAGAAGTTTTTTTAACGTGGGATTATGATGCTGCCTGAAAGATGGCAAAAGGTCATTGATCAAAATGGGCAATACATTACAGAATAAAGTTATTTAGTTCCATGAAAAAATTGTCTTTGATTTTCTTTAAAAAATCCGCAGTTACTTAGTTGCCGACCCAATATTTAATGCCCCTCCCATTCTTTAATGCCTCTCCCCTTGAGAGGTGGTATTCTATGTATTGCCCTTTTGAATCTGCTTCAACAACAGAGTGCAGCACAAGTGACTTCTATAGCTGGAACACTTGCCTCGGACCTCTCCATGTACCAACCTCACACCCTGACTTGGTGGCGCTGAGAAATCCAAGCCACAGAAAGAAGTCAAGTGTAGGCACTCCAACTGATAGGCTCTGCTGAGCCTTCCTGAGTCCCTCTAGTCCAGGCACCAATGTTAGAATACAGAAGTCTCTCTCATTGTTAGAATAAAGATTCCTGCCTCTAGCTGTTCAAGTCTTCACAACTAAAGCTCCAGAAATTGTTGGACAAACACAGCTATCTCCACTGTGTGCTGTATGAATTCCTATTCCACAGACTCTATCAGAATCACCAAAAAGGTTGGTTACACCACTAATGGTTACAGCAATTTGCTGTAATACAAACAGATTCCATCTCTCAATCCTAAGGGAAAAGCCAAGAGGGTCAGAGAGCTATTGACCTAGAACCCCAACACCCCTAACCCGCTGTACCACCCCTAACTCCAGACTTGTCCACATGTGAAATCACGCATGTCTTTATTGCTTAAGCCATAGTTACTTAAAGGCATCCCTAAGTGACACACCATGCTGCCCCTCAGTGACCCAGATTCAGGCTGGAGTGCTCCTTTTCCCCATGAGCTGTGCATGGAAACTTACTGATATTTCCTTTTCTGGCCTCTCCCCCTCCACACACTACCACCAGAATAATTCTCTAAAACACACTTCAATCCCATTATTTCCTTGTTTAAAATGTTCAAAGACTCCCCATTACTTTGCAGGAGTTCGCAGCGACAGCAGGCAACAGAAGCCTGAGCATTCCAGGCCCTCTGTGTCAAGTGTACGTGCAAACAACTCCCAGGTTCTCTAATAGGCAAGCCTAGTTTCAAACCCTTGAGGCCTGGCCTCCCCTCCCCTTTCCCTCTATCCCAACAGAACATGAGGCTTCCTCTTCTGTGCTCCCACTTTACTATCTTGTTGACACTTCTGTTACCATGTGACTTTTTAAATTTTTCTATCACCCTCACCAGACAAGAAACCACCAGAAGGCAAGACTCCTGTCACACAGAAGGTTCTATCCCAGTACCTAGCACACTCTCTGGAAGATACTGGCATTCATGTCTTCCTATGATTAGATGAATGGATGAATGAATATAGAACAATAAACCACTCATCTTTCTGCCTTCTTAGGTATGTTCTGTTTTCCCTGAAACTATGCGCGCGCTCTCTCTCTCTCTCCAACTGAGCAAACAGACCAAGGAAAATACAGACAACTGCAAATTAGACAGAAGTCTGAGGTTTATCATTTACTAGACCTTGGCTTGCCCAGCCAAGGAGGCCTGAAAACTCAAGGACCAATTCTCTTATCTAACAATCAAGAAGCTGGAGAAACCACTGGAGTTTCACAGTGCAAAGCACATTTTGAAACCATCCTGGTCCTGTAACTTCATCCACATCTTGCAAATGCCACTCTGACCACCTGTGATTCGCACTATTGGTCCTCAGCAAATAACCAAGTGTGACTTACTCACTAGAATGAGTCCAAAAGGCAGGTCTTATCACAAGAGTGCCTTCCCCAGAAACTGACTTAGCTAGATGCTGCAGGGAGTAGGGGGTGTATTCCTCAGTCACAAGCAAAAGGAAACCCTCTTCTTTCGCTAAATCCCATTACCTGGAATGTACTTTATTTCACTTTCAAGGATATTTCTAGACCATAGTCTATAAAATCAATTGAGTGGTTTACTTACTCAAAATACATTGGGGAACATGACAGTAAAAAGGACCAAAATTACTGCAGACATACTTAATGTATGTTAGGTACCATGCTAAGTACATCACATACTTTCTCATTTTATTGATTTTTTAGAGAGAAAGAAACTGATTTGTTGTCCACTTATTTACTCATTCATTGTTTAATTCTTATATGTGCCCTTACCAGGTATTGAACCCACAACTTTGGCATATCAGGACAACACTCTAACCAACTGAGCTACCTGGCCAGGGCTCATTCTATATTTATAATAACCAATAGGTAATACCACTATTCTTATTTTAGAAGAAACTGGGCTTTTTGAGCAATTAGACAACTTTCCCAAAGTTCAACAGCTAGTTATGGGCAGAGCTGAGATTTAGACCAGGTTCTGCAAGGGGGCAAAGACTGTATGATCTCTTTCCATAACTCTCTTGCTCTTGCCTCTGCCCCACTCCAACACTTATCCTGTCTGTGCTTTACCTAATGAGAAAGAAGGAAGATAACATTCACCTGTGCCCACACCAAGTACGTTCTGAGTGTTAGCTCCTTTAATCCCTAAAAATCTGTGAGGTGGATATTTTTCTCCCCATTTCACAGATAAACCTATTGAGGCTTAGAGAAGTTCAGGAATGTGCCCAAGATCACAGCTCTTGGCAAATAAGAAATTAATTTCAAATATCATACTCTTGCCCTAGCCGGTTTGGCTCAATAGAGTGTCAGCCTGCAGACTGAAGGGTCCCGAGTTTGATTCTGGTCAAGGGCACGTGCTAGGGTTGCGGGCTCGATCCCCATTCGGGGGCATGCAGGAGGCAGCCAATCAATGGTTCCCTCTCATCAATGATGTTTCTATCTCTCTCTCTCCCTCTCCCTTCCTCTCTCAAATCAATAAAAACATTTTTTTTAAAAGATCATACTCTTCCACCGCACCATGCTGTCCCCTTCTCCACCCTAAATATGTATGATAGGGCTCCTTTTTTTCTAAATGATAGAATAGCATGTGACAAAGAAAACCCACCATCTCCCACTTCACAAGTAATATTGCCTCTCAGAGCCCCTCTGATGTAAGAGAAGAAGCCAAACACTGTCATTGGATAAGATCCCTTTCCCTTATCCCTTGTTCCTTATTCCTTATCCCCTTTGATTAAGTTATTTAATGTATCTGGTTTCCCAAGGCAAGATCAGAAGGACAAGCACCAATGACATAAACATCTTCTGGAGTCCACTTTCACCAGTGAACAGACAGACATATTCCCTTCATGATCCAGGGACATGTAGAACAATACTGAACTCACAAAACCCAAATGTTTGATCTCACTATGACTTCTCAACCTGAAGGACACACCCACCCATGGGGAGGGTGGGGATCTGTGGAATGTTCACAGCCAACTTCCCAATCAGGCCAGCACACGCTCACCTCCACTCACTCTTACACCTGCCTATTACACTCACACATGAACGGACCTGAACCGTCAAGCCTCACTCCACTCAATTTAGACAAGAACTAGAGGTTGGCTTTTCCAAATCCATAAACTACAGGGTGGGAAGCACCGCTTGCTCTTTGCAAAAGAACCCGATGCTCCTTGTCTTCTTTCCAAAAAATTTAAAGCCAGAAAAAAGAAGCCGTAGTATGTTGGCAAAAACTTCAGTGACTGAACTGTCTGTGGTTTTGTTCTGTTCTTTTAACGTATCATTATTGAGCACATATATCTCAGATGCTACACTGAATGTATGAGAAACATTATCCCATTTAATCCTGATAATAACCCTCTAGTCTAGAGAATGACATTACTCATCCCAATCTACAGGTAAAGAAACCAAGCATGCTAAGAAGCATGCACAAGATCAACAGCTGGTCAGAAGCAGAGCTGAGATCTGAACCCAAGTTCACCTGACTCCCCAAGACACACTATGCCCCACAGCTTCCCAGCATTATTTACTACAGCACCTTCCCGACAAGGACCTGCAAAATCAAAGAGCATGTGAAACTGTAGACATGGGCAATCCCTCTTGGCCCCTATTCAACTTCAAAAACATAAATTGGTGGTTTCTTGGTTTCTCTGTTATCACTAGAATTAAGTCAAAGGAACTGTGTTTTTTGAAACAAATCTGACCTATATGAATCACAGGCCTGAAAATGCAATGTGTTTTATACTCATGGCTGGACCCCATGATTGATCCTGTATTAAAATTATGTAATTTAGGCTGCCTCAAAAAATATATCACTAAAATGTTGTCATGTAGCCTAAAACTTTAAAAGCACCTCTTCAATCACATATAATTTACCTTGTGCTGAAGTTCTCCATAGATTAAAAATCCAAATCCTGCCCTTGCTGGTTTGGCTCAATGGACAGAGCATCAGTCTTTGGATTGAAAGGTCCCAGGTTCAATTCTGGCCAAGGGCACATTCCTGGGTTGCGGGCTTGATCCCCAATAGGGGGCGAGCAAGAGGCAGCCAATCAATGATTCTCATCATTGATGTTTCTCTCCCTCTCCCTTCCTCTCTAAATATCAATAAAATATTTTTTTTAATAAAAAAAAATAAAAATCCAAATCCACCCAAGTAAGTCTTTGAGAGATTCTCCTTGTTATGTCTCAGTCGCACCACCCTTCCCCAGGGAAAGAGTGACTTTCTTTGCTACCCTGGAAAGATCTGAGGGGTTTTATTCTTTACTGAGGAAGCTACATTTTCTTATGTACATTTAGGAAAAGGCACTGGACAGCAGCCTACCTCAGAGAAGAACTCATCCATGAAGGCTGTGTTGTCAACGGCAATCTCGACCTCATCGGCATCATCATCCTGTGTCAGCTGCTTCTGGGAGAGACACAAAGGAACAGGTGAGACAAAAAAGCACAAGAGCTCGCTAACAGTGCTGGATGCTAACTAAGGGCCTGGAGATATAGCTACCTTAATCACTTTACACATATAATCTCCTTGAAAACACAGGACAGCTCTGGGATGTGTCCAACTCCGAGGTCACCTGTCTGAATTTAAATCCTAGTTCCACCATTTGCTGATTTATTTTATTTATTTATTTATTTATTTATTTATTTATTTATTTTGCAGGGTGGGGGAGGCAGGGACAGGCAAGTTACCACCCTCGCTGTGCCTCAGTTTCCTTATCTGTGAAATGTTAATAATAACACTACTTACTGCACAGCATTGTTTAATAAATCAATGAGATGATAAATATAAAACACTTTGGCACAGTGTCTGGCACAGTGCTCAATATCGCTAGGTTTGGTGGTGATGGCAGTTGGTGGTGGTGTCATTACCAGTCAGAGAACCAAAAACAGAGAGGTTAAGTAACTTGACCAAAGTCGCACAGGTAAAACGTGAAAACAGGCAGATTCTAGCCCATCGGGGACTTGGAGCCCATGTTCCAACCCTTTCTGCAGTGTTCAAATGCATGACCCACCCTACCAGGGACCTCTAACAGTTTCTAGCCACAATTCCTCCAAATACTAGTCGCAAATTCTCACTGTAGGAGTGAAGATTTGCCTGTTTTCTGAAACCACTTATTGCAAAGGAAACAACACTTTGTGTTGTTCCCTGTCAGTATTCATGTTTATAAGGAAAAGGAAGCTCTACCCCCAGCCACCTCCAGGGATCCCACCTTTCTTAACCTTATTTAACTTCCTCTGAAAAGTCACTGAATGGCTTTCTAAAGGAAGGGCTTCCCTGCTCACCAGCACCAAGGGCCTGAGCTTCTGCTAGGTGCTTCTCAAATTTTCTTCTCAGATCACTGCTGCATTGCACACTGCCTATTTCCAAGCACAGACGAAGAACAGGGTGTTGGGGGATGAAGGTGGGAGGGGTACATCCCCTACCCAGCTCCTTCACAACCTTCAGTGGCCTATGGCCTTGCCTTATAAGCCAGAACATGTCACTTGCAAACACTCAAAACTCCACAGGCAATGAGAGCCATTAGGGGGGTCTTCCCCAGCTATCATCTCCCTGATCTACAGCAGAAGATGGAGATATTGGGACTTCCCATCAAAATTTGGGGGCTCTCTAGACATTCAGGGAGTCTCTTTTGACTGGCGCCCCCATTATTTCATTTTGTGGCTCAACTGGAACCATCAGCCACCCAAGTTTAACAGCCACATTTACTCCATTCAAAGGAGTTAAATTTGAGGGGTTGCTACAGCCCTCACAATTACCTTCCTAAAACTAAAAACTGATCATGTCCTTCTGCTACTTAAAGTCATTCAATGACAACTCACCTCCTAGGACTAATAGTCCCAATGCCTAACAGAGCATGGGGCCCTTTAAGATCAGGCCCCACCCACGTTTCTCCCTCTGTGATGCACTCTCTAGGCCAGGCACTCTTGCATTTCCTGGACACATCACTCTTTCATATTGCTGAACTGTCACACAAGGACTTCCTCCTGAAATGCATTTGTCCAGTTGGCAAACTTTTACTTAGCCTTTAAAACTCAATCTCCACCTTTGTAATAATATGAACAATAAAGATTGATTTTAAAAAAAAGAAAAGAAAAAAAAAGAAATAAAGAGAACTAAAAAGTTAAAAATAAATAAATAAATAAATAAAAATAAAACAGTAAAAAAATAAATAAATAAATAAAACTCAATCTCCAACAATCTTATCTGTCAACCTTACTGACACTTACCCACATGCACAACTTAAAAGCTCCCTAAACTACTCCCAAAGCAGCCAACACACCCTACCGTTAATTACCCCTTCATTTATCTGTCCTTCCCCCACGGACTATAAACTTCTGCAGGGTCAGGGTCAGATCTATGTATCCATTAGATCTCTTGAGTGTGTGTGTGTGCCTGCCCAAAACATCTTCCTTTGTGTAGATAGCCCTCACCTTTCCACATGATTCTGGGAAGGTTTCTCAGTCATCACCCAGACACCCTGAGGAATTTGAATTGTGAGGGGAACAGAGCACAGTCTAGATTTCTGCTAGATTCCCAGAGCTACCCTGGTTCTGTCCTTCCCAAGCCACCCCCTGACTTAGAACAGGTTCTCCAGACTTCCCCAGTGTTCTTTCAATTAGCAGAACCATATTATTCTAATATTTTTTAATTCATTTGGCCAGAATCAGCTGTTGTCACTTGCAATTAGAGCAACAAATGGCAGATCATAAAATTCAAGGAAGAGGGTCAATCTCACAGGTGACCTGCTTAAAGTGGTTATCTGGAGTCATGTAGCACTGGGAACTACCACCAAGCTTCTGCAGAAGGGACTTAGCAGAGCTCAGGGCTGGGGCTCCTTCCCTTGTGACCCAGCCATGACCTAACAGACCGAGGCCTCAGGGACCCCAGGGGCAAGGGAAGCACATGGTGCCCGTTATCTTCAGCCCACATGACTGAGCACAGCCAAGAAGAGAACTTCAGCATCTTTATCAAAGAATCAAGGCGTGTGGTAATAGAAACGCTCCAGTAGCTGCAACATTAGCCACAGTATTAAAAAAACCAACGTATGTGAGAACCATGTGCCCAACCGCCCACTTCCTCTCCCCACACCCTAACTCAAGCCCCCTGCTGCTTCTCCCACGAGGAGGTGGGAGATAATGGCAGTGACTTAGGCACCACTAAGCTAGAACCCAGAACTTACCACCTTCCTCACTTCTCAAATGTGTTCCAAAATTCGGTGAGGACAGCCAGGACCATGACCTCCTCTCTGAGCAGAAAGTGGAAAGAGTTCAGGGGCCCAGGTCTCAATATGAAGTAATTTAACCTGTGATTCCTCTCACTCAGCACTCACTGCCTTTCTCTCCACTGCCTCTCTCTAGAATACTTAAGTCTATCGGACTCTTCATCAGCTCCTTTAATAAAAAAATAATTGCTACACAGAGCCACTGATAGGTGCTAGGTAGCCACAACACTACCGTAGTTGCTTTACATAAACTATGCCAACAAAAGCCACCTAAATTCTGAAGTTGAGAACCTGCAGGTCAGAGAAGTTCTATGTTATTCAAGGTCTCCAGCTATTGGTTTTCAGAGTCGGGGCTCAATCTTAGGTTGTCTGTCCCAAGCCCTTGCTTATTCCACTGCACCCTGCTCTAAGCAGCCTATCATCGAAGCAGCCAGGGGCCCAGGAGAGCAGCAGCCCAGCCCTGCAGAAAGCACCCTTGGGAGAGAGGAGCTATGGACGTGTAACACTTGTCTCCGTTAAGCCTTGATTTTCTCACCAGGAAAGGAGCTTAGCTTTGCAATTGGCTTTTTGGAACCTCAGGACACCTCAGAAACCACCCAGGGAAGTAAGGGAAAGGGAGTCAAGCAGGTGGGTCCTCTCACCCTGGTCAATCTGCATAACCTCACTTTTACCTGCTTTACACATTGGGGTTGGATATAACATTTCATATGAAGACAGAGTCCTGTTGTTAAGAGAGGGAAGAAAGGAAGAAAAAAGAAAGAAGAACAGAAGAAGGCAAGCTTAGCTAGCCAGCTGGGAAGTCACGGAAGTTAATGAACGGGTGGCTTCTAAGAAAAGAGAACAGGGAGGGCCCTCGCTCCTCTCCAAGTTAAAACATGGCCGCAGGCCCGGCTGGTGTGGCTCAGTGGTTGAGTGCTGAACTGTGAAGAACCAGGAGGTCATGGTTCGACTCCCAGTCAGGGTACAGACTCAGATTGCAGGCTTGATCCCCAGTATAGAGCATGCAGGAGGCAGCCAAACAATGATCCTCTCTCATCATTGACGTTTCTATCTCTCCCCTCTCCCTTCCTCTCTCTGAAATAAAGAAAAATATAATATAAAAAGAAAAAGGAAGCAAAAACACAGCTGCAAAGAGGTTAACCTCATCAGCAATTCCATAAGGATCATTACAAATCAGAAGAGCAAGACAGGGACAAAGAAAGAAAAGAAGTGACAAATAAAGAAAAAGGAAGCCTCCCAAATTAAGAGGACATGATTCAGAGGCTCCCTGATTCTCTGCCTGCCACAGGTGCTAGACCCCCGGAAGGCCAGAGGTTTCCAGCACAGACAGAAGGCCCAGGAGCTCTTGGGAAGTTTCAGGGTGATGGAAATAATGATAGAGGGGAAGGGACCAACAGTCTAAACTAGGAAGGAACAACACTGGTCCTTAACTTCCCACAGCAGGGTATTAAAGGATTGTGGCTAGCGGGGGTGGTAGCCCTCCTGACACAAGCGGATGATCACAAATTCTTGCTCCTCTTCCTCTCCATATTTAAACAGCTCTTTGCTTAGATACATACTCTTCTTTTTAAACCCAGATTTTCTCCCAAAAAAATTGATGCAAAGAGGCAATGGCATGATTTTTCTTGTCCCTGCTCCTTACTTTCCCCACCTGCCTCCCTCTAGGATAAGGGTCTGTGGATTCAAAGATGAACGTCACCACTTCCAAAAATTCCAAACATACACACACACACACACACACACCACAACACACTGCCCAACATCTGGTTTTTCCTGTCCCTCTTCTTTAATTAAAAGAAGCCAGAAATTCTGAGTAAGCCTGTCAGCTCTCAATAGGCACTCAGTGCTCTGTTCCCCATTTAAAGAGTCAGATGGCAGTTTTCCAACGCCCAGTTCTCCCTCCTACACTGTTTTTTTCTCATTCGCTGAAACCCTCCCAGAGGGACCACTTCCCCTTTCCGCTGAAAGGCATCTTCCCCAACACACTTGTAAGATGAATCAAGAAGAGACATACAGACAATGAACCCTAGGTGAGGCTCATACTTTTACTTTCCAGATGTTCAGTGGAACATTTGGAAGCAAAACCGGCCCTTTTTGGAAGATGAAGACACTGGGGAATTAACTCAATACCAATCAGCCCAAGGCCAGCAAGTTGGTGGACAACTGGACAAAAACCAAAGTCCAG